CCGGACCCGTACACAGTCTCTGAGACCGCCAGTAGGGAGGTGATTTCAGTTAGCTTAGCTGCATGGCTGACTGAGCTAACAGCAGTTAGCAGTTGGCTACTGATCAATCTGTCCATCAGGAAACTCTGTGAATGACCTGTACTTGTACTTGTATTCCCTGACAGTCTAGGAGGCTGTGTTCGATCCTGGTCCGGCTGCTGAGCCCGGTTCTGTCGCCCGCTGACGGCAGATACAGTTAGCGAATGAAGTTATGAAGTTATGAAGTTGAGCCAACGATTGATGGAGATTTAGCAAACTAGTTAGCTAGCATTTTCCTAAAAATAACTTTCAGATGCAACTAGTTGTGACGTAGAGCTGATGTTAGCTGGAGTTTTACTAACATCAGCTATCAGATGTCACTAGCTAGCTAATGACTGAGTTAGTAAACTAGTTAACCTGTAGCACATCCTAGCTAGATGACACTTTCATCACACTGAGATGTAGTTTTCTGTTTATTATGCTAAATAATGCTAAATGTTTGTTTTATGGTTGTAGAGACGAGCTGGAAGAAGACTGAAATATATTCAGTGTGTGTGTGTGTGTGTGTGTGTGTGTTTTGTTTATCCTGTTAATGCAGAGATGATAATTGAATAACACTCGAGGGATCTCTGAGTCCGTTACACCATGACTGACATCTCAGGGTCACAGCGAGAGAGAGCGAGCTGCTCCTCTGACAGCAAACAGCCCTCATGCCTTCATATGTGTGAGCGAATAGAAGCCATTATAAAGCTTTAAATGTGTGTTTGCATCAGAGATAATTGCATGTGTTTGCTGCAGTAGTGTGTGTGTGTGTGTGTTCATTCTCAGTATGTAGTGCTTCCTGACAGTCGGTAATAAGGCCATTTGGACTCACTCAGCCTCGCTGTAATTTGATTTTAATATTCTTCACCTTCTCCTGCACACACACTGACTGCACTGGAATAATTGAGAGCATCACATGCAGCGTGGAGACATCGCGAATGCACCGAGGAACATTTCACTCTCACGGAAACGTCACGAGAGCAAATAGCTCGGTGTGGGAGGATGTTAAATCTGTGTTTATATGTGTGTGTGCGTCCTCATACAGCTGCTTAACCACGTCTTTACATACTGACGCAACCCTTTTGTTTTATGTTACAGCAACGTTAGTTTGTCTAAAGCGTCAGGACGGCGTAATCTGCAATGGACGATGAGCTTTACGCTACATTCATTCATGATTTTTAGTTTGAACAGAGCCTCAATCTGTAATTCCTTACAAATTAGTCCTACATGTCCTAGTCAGGAATGAACTCTTCATAAGCCCCGCCCCCTTTTCCTCTGTGCTCCAATCACAGTTGAGCAATCCTCAGTCAACTAATTTATGTAAATGAGCTAGCTAGTGGTAGCACTTTGCAAACATTAGCTAACCTAAGATGTGACATGCCAGCTAACGATTGATATAGATGAGTTAGCTAATGTTTTACTCTGTAGCAAAACACTAGCAAAGTAGCCAGTAGCCAATAGCTAATGGTTAATGTAGATTAGTTTCCTAGATAGCTAGCGAGTAAAACACTACTCTTAACCAGTCGGTAGGGGTCAGTGCTCATTTTTTCAGCTATTTTAGATTTTGAAAATGAAAATAAAATGCTAATTAGTTTTAGTCAAAATCTTCTTTAATGAAGGGTTGCTGGTTTTGCTCATTCAACAATAAAGAACAGGTTGAGAACAAAGGTCGTAGTTTCTGTTATTGAAAACACTGGTAGGGGCCAATTGTTAAAGTGATTAACAACCTTTTAGTTATTGATCACCCTACCCCTAACCCTGCATTATACTATTACTCTGTTGACTGGTGAATCACTACAGACCAGTCTAAAATATCTAATATATATATATAATAATATGTACAATGTGAACACTGGAGTTGTAAAAGTTGTGACAGATGTTGATAGAACAGCTTACATTAGCACTGATGAAAACATGAGACACTAATTGATCTTTAAACAACGCACTGTAATTGTCTGAGAGGCGAGGTGACAAATGAAGGTCAGAGAGGGATGATGGCGAGAGACAGCAGCAGCGTCGGAGCGGAGGAGGTGGTCGGTTCACCGCCTCTGAAACCACTTGATCAAATCCTGCCTGAGCTTTCTCATCTCCCCACAGGGCTCGTTAAAGATTCATCTGAACTAATCAGAGAGAGAGAGCGTGCACTGTACTCTCTCTGACCTGAGAGGTTTGCTTCTGAATTAGATTCCAGACTCTCATAACAAGAGGACTTTGGAGCAAAACCAGATGAAAAACTAAACATATTTAACTCAGAGGTTGTTCCCTAAAGCAGAACTGTAGAGCACAGGACATTAATGCATGCATACCATGGCTGCGGGGCTCCTTTAAAGGACCATAACAGTGGTTTTGTATGTTTTAGTGGCAGGGTCCGACAGTGTGCTTCCCCCTGTGCAGTTTTGGAACTACAGTCCCCATAATTTGGGATGTTTGTGGCAGTGGTTCCCAACCTGGGGGGGACTTTAAACTAAATAATTTTATGTCAGCTGCCATGAAAGTTCTCAACAATTTTAAGAGTGTGTAAGAAATATCCACAATAGATTTAATTCTGAGAAGAAATCACTCGTTTTTAATAATATGAAATATCCATAAAATATGAGTCAGTTTACTGACTGATAGAAAAAGGCTCCCTTGAGGAAAAGGTTGGGAACCAGTGCTTTATGGGATGCAAACAGGAAGTACAATGTTGCCCTGGACTACAACTTTTGCTTTCTGTTTCATGGAGACTTTAAATTGTTTAGAAAGATGGAAGAGCCACGTTGTTCAGTAGAGCACAGAGCTGAAGATCTCTGATGCACAAAGTGAATCTCACTCAGCTCAATCTCCGTCACACACGTGCGTGTGAAGACTCCTCGTGTGTTTGGAATAAACACAAACACCACAGTGGTCGGCGCTCCGGCCATCTGAGTCACTCCCTCACGCTGCAATCTGCCCTGACAGGCCAAGGATGAAGGTGTCACTGTGTGTGTGTGTGTGACAATGATGGACAGTCAGTGTGTGTCAAGCACTTCATCACAGGTTAGTTAATGATGTTACTGAGCGTGTGTTCGGTCTGACACTGTGGAGCAGAGGATATTTTAACTTCATTCACATAGACTGAGCTGACCTACTTTGTAATATATATTTATAGTCACATCTTAAGCAAAATTATTACATTAGCAACACAATATATTCAGTGCAAACAAAAGAAAATCTTTAGTAAAATGCTAGCTAACTAGCTAATTCACAATCATTAGCTGGCTAGTTAGCTGCATAGTTAGCTAGATTTTTGCTAACATTAGCTATCATGACTAATGTAGATTAACTAACTAGTTGGCCTGTGTTTTGCTTACATTTGCTAACTTAAAATGGCCGTTCCAGCTGAAATTTCTGACTGGGAACTCCAGCGATGGGAGAAATATGAGATTCAACGAGGTAGCTGTATGTCAGGACACTCGTCCATAAGCATTTATTTTTATTTTTTTACATATAACAGATTTTGGCTCCTAATAGCCTAAAATGTATACAGCATTCTTATTTTATGGTATTAAATTCATAAAGACCTCTGAATTTGCATTTAGTGCTAGTCAAATTAGAGCAACTGCTTTCACCCAAAAGTGGGCGTGGCTTTTCACCAAAAGTGGGCGGGGCTTCTGGACTGCTCTCATCTATGTAGAGAAACAGAAAGTAAGAAAGAGGAAAGAAAGTGTGTGTTTGTCAGTGTGGATAATGTTTTTGTCCAGAGCCGACACACACACACACACACACACACACACACACACACTGACCTCTGCTTGAAAGTCAAGTGCACAGCACTCAGGCCTGTCAAACTGTGTCAACCTCCGCAGCCGACAGACAGACAAGCAAACACTTTCACACGTGTGAGGGAGCAACGGTGGCGGGATCACACGTTTCTGTCACCCCGCTGATCCGACCATACGACATCTTTCACCTCACTTCCCCTCCGTCCGTCTCTCACTGCAACGCGACAAAGACAAAGAGCGGCGCCGGAGAGATGAAGCAGCTTCAGGAACTACAGCAGAGAGAGAGAGACAAAGAGAGGAGAGACAGGACAGTGAAACAGAACTAGGACAGGCGGTACATTAAGCTCAGTGGCTGTACAGTTATTGGCTGTGACAGTTTCCTCGTGCATTAACATATGCATGATGTGGTGGGTACTGCAGAAAAATATAGATAATCTCTCAAACTACTGTATGAATCAGCCTGTTCTCTCCAACAGGAGGTTTTCTTTTGCATCTTTTTCATCTTTTTCAGTTCATTTTTTTAGGACATTGCAGAAGGATTTCACACAGTAATAACACAAAGTTACAGCGCTACGTACGTGCTGTGAACGGGGGTTAAAGATACAGAAGGAATAAGTAAATGAAGTCATGAGAATATAAAATAAATAAAGACTAATTATGAATAATTAGGGTCCAGGACTCCCTGGAATTTGTTAATTAACACCACACAAATATACAGTATTTATTAAAACTGTGAGATTTATGTTGAAATGATGAAGACCACAAACAGATTAATGTGTTGTCGCTCTGCTCTGCCTTATATTTATTGTTTTTCCCAAAGATGGTTTCTGTCATTTTAGGGCGTTCTCATCACGCTGATGTTTGTTCAAGTGTTCATTTTTGTCATCAGTTTTGTTTTAATTTGTTATTTTAAGATTAAAAAAGCATCACGATCAACAGTTAAGTGCTTGCCATTGAGTCAGCCAGGCATATGGGCGGGACATCGCTACCGTGGCGCCAACCCCGATCACTAGTCCGGGATATTTTGGGTGGAAGTATAGACGGCCATCTTTTATATGTCGATCCTAATTTCCAGTTTAGACCCATAAAATGATTTAATCTGTAGAATCTCACTGAAACAACAGCAGAGAAAAACTCACCAAACAACCAGAAATGCTTTTCAATGCGATGCTGACCGATGTGTTTTTGTTGTTGCTGCAGGTCTCGGCTCGCAGATTTCCACATGAACTGCCAGATGACATCTCACACCGTCACCAGCTGCCCCCATGACAACTACCATGGCTGCCTCATGTCCTACGTCGGCCTCCTTGGTGAGTTTGATGACTTTCAAAGTAAAGTTAAGTATTTATTAGGTTGTTAGCTCAACAGCAGAGAGCATTAGGCCTTTAATCCTCACGCAATCACACCCTTAAAATGTCATGTAAACCAGATAAGCAGGTTTAGCTGATGGAGACTTGATGCTGTTAATATTCAAATGCAAAAAGTCACTTTAAACTGATATTTAACCAGCCGCAGTAATCATAGTTTGCTAGTAAACAGCGTTTCAGTTACTCCTCAAACTCTCTTCCACACATCAGTAGGCAATAAGTCCGCTGCTAATAACAGTCTAATAACAGTTTAATAACAGTTTAATAACAGTCTAATAACAGTTTAATAACAGTCTAATAACAGTCTAATAACAGTCTAATAACAGTTTAATAACAGTCTAATAACAGTCTAATAACAGTTTACTAACAGTCTAATAACAGTTTACTAACAGTCTAATAACAGTTTGATAACAGTCTAATAACAGTTTAATAACAGTCTAATAACAGTCTAATAACAGTTTACTAACAGTCTAATAACAGTTTAATAACAGTCTAATAACAGTTTACTAACAGTCTAATAACAGTTTAATAACAGTCTAATAACAGTTTACTAACAGTCTAATAACAGTCTAATAACAGTTTAATAACAGTCTAATAACAGTTTACTAACAGTCTAATAACAGTCTAATAACAGTCTAATAACAGTTTAATAACAGTCTAATAACAATCCGCCACGTTTCACTGTCAACATCCGTTGTCACTCACTTTTGCCATTTGTTGATACCTCTCAGCCACCGTATTAAAGAGATGCATTCTGGCCGATTGTGTCCTGTTTACAGCGTTTTACTGTTAAACTATGACAGTAAAAGACTAAACTCTAAATAGGTTAAAGTTAACAGTTAAACAGAGATATCTCACAGCAAAACCTTTATTTATATCTTTTACGGCATTTTAGATTTTCCTTGAGTGAGTCATCCCAAAGGGAGTCATCCCAAAGAGATCAATAAAGAGAAGTCTAAGTCTAAGTCTAAGTCTAGAGGAATTTATATGGAATAAAGTCAATTTTTTTTAATATTACAAACTGTAAATTGCTGATAGCATCATATGGCAAAACTGTTTCTTTTGATGATAAAAACATGTATTAATACAGTAAAATATGGAACAGTACAGTGTTCCTTGTAAATGAATACCTCACATATTCTGTCAAAACATTATTCATGTTAAAAAAGAACAGATTGGTGGTTCAATGTTCTGGTTTCTGTATTTACATTTAACTGAGTTTATTATGATAACTGTAGTGGTATTATTACTAGAGAGTGAACCATTATTAGAATAACGTCATCTAGTTGAGAATTTACAGCCGCTGCTGTTATTCTGTCTTTGTTGGATGACTCACTTCCTCTCTGGAAATCATCCAGTGATTCAATTCGCAATTTACAAAAATCCTCTTTACCTTTCTTCCTGGATAATCTCCATCCTAATTCTTATTCCTCCCCACCGTTAACTGCCTCCCCCTCGCTCTCTCTCTGCCTCTCTCTGTCTCTCAGGCTCAGATGTGACGCCGAACTACAGCGACAGCAGCCCCTCCAATATCACCATCAGCCTGTGGTGTACCTGCAGGGGCACCAGCAATCAGGAGCCCGAGTGTGACGCTTTCCACCGGGACTTCACACACAACACCTGCCTCAGTGAGTCCTCCGCTGCCGTGTCACCTCCACAATGACGAGGACAGATTTAGACACAGCCATAAAGATTAAAATATATAAAGACGGAAAGAAAATCCTTCAAAGCTGGGTCACATCAGTGGTTTGACTGGAAGATCAGAATAAGGTTTATGGCTGTAGTTAACATCATTTGGTCTATTAAACATCAGGAAACACAGGAAAATGTCCATCACAGAGAGCACAAGATGATGTCTTCAGACTTCTTGTTATTTCTTACCAACAAAACAACCGAAAGATAGTCAGTTAAATGTGCTGCAGGACAAAGAAAGAAAGAACTTCTCACTTTTTAAAGTTATAGATATAAAAATGTACTTGCCCTGAGATGCACCAGAATCTCAGACCGAAACAATGACAACTCATCAAAACCGTTTTCGTTAGATGTGAAAATATTAGTGAAAAGCACTACAATGACCAAGGGCAGCAATGTAAGCTGACTTTAATCCTAGTTTTGTACCTGACAACATTATGGAAAGAAAGTTGGTTACTGCTGTATTAATGTTTTTAATCTCATATATATAACCATTAAGAAGCTGGAACCAGCTAATTTTTGACATTTTTGCTTGAAAAGTGACTTAAATTATATTTGAATACTCGCCACTTCATTTCTGTCGAAAACAGTTTCATCTCTGTCTGCATTTGAGCATTTTTTGTAGAGTTAGGGTTGAATAATGCGGAGGAGTTACGTGTGTGTTGTGTGTGTACAGCATATAAGTGAAAAAAGAGAGTGAGTCAGATAACTGAGGAGAAAGGTTAGGAAGAGGACGGTGAGACAGTGAGTTGAGGATCCCTAGATACTGTCTTTAAATAACAGTGACCCAGCTCCAATATCACCTCTGCTCCTCCTCTGTCAAACAAACACCCTCCGCTGTCTTAATGTGAACATATACATTCATATCCACGTGCCAAATATGCCTGTAGCAAAGAAAAACCACGTCAATACACTGTATAATCAGAGCTTTGTGTTCACCATGCATTAAACATTATGGGAATCTGATCATTCAGACCTCACAGTGTGTGAAGATCTGAGTTCTGGAGGAAACTGTAGCAATTCAATGCAAAGTCTGAATTCAGACTGTCTGCAAGATGCTGAGCAAAATTTTAAAATGCTTGTTTTCTGAATGGAGTTTGGTTGATCAGCGCTATGCTAACTTAGTAAAATTAATAACAGACACATATTTTCCAACTTCCTCTCCTCCTTTTCTATGTATAAATATGAAGTCCTCTCTCTTCTCAACCTGCTGCGATCCACGGAGGAAGATAAATCCACTTTTTAATCTTAGAAGTTTAAAAAACGTGTTTGTTCCCCCAGAAGCTCCGGCTCTCTTCTGCAGACAATGAAAAAGGTCAATATTTTCAACGTGCATTAAATCACAAATGCAGCCAATGATTCCAGTGTTCACGCCATTTGCGTCGCTCGATATGAATTAGCATCTTTTTATCATCTTTGTATGTAAACTACTCATGTGAATGTTTGAGCCTGCTGTCTGAGCACGGCTAGGCTAATCTATGTTAATAAGACATTTTGAAGATGGTTCAAAGATAAAAAGGTATATAGTCATATAGTATTCAAACGTTTTCATCAGATTAAATAAAGCTTCATGTTCGGAGAGAGCTTTTCAGATTTTTGTCAAAAGCTTTTTCATTTTTATTCATAGACACTTTAAACCAACTTCATTTTCACCTCGACCTCTCCCCACTGCAAACACACACCCAGTGAGCTAACGTGGTCCTTTCTTCATCAATAGCTCTCTCACTTTTTATTATAGACACTTCAGACCAGCTTTACATTCACCATGGCCTCCTCCTATTATATACACAACCTCCAGTTTTAAAAGAAACTTTATCGAAATGTTACCGTATATCATCGTAGTTTTATTCAAGGTGGACTGACACTCATATTTTGTGAGCAGCAAGAAGGCAGGCCTTCACCTTTTTGGGTATGAATACAAAATGTAGATATTCTTATGTAATAAACTGATTCAGATACAGATTACACCCCAAGTAAATATAAAGACAGGAATTGAAATGAGTGACTGTTTCTTGGTGAGCAAACAATAATTTTGTTGTCACAGTGTAATTTGGATAATAGAGGGTTTAAAGAGGGTCTCATATTGATAACCATCTCCCCTCTGCTGCTCTCTCTTGGCATGTTTCTCATGTTTACTCTTTCTTTATCTCTTTATCCATCACAGAAAACGCCATCCAGTCGTTTGGGTACGGCGCAGAGGGGGGCACTCTTCTTGTAACCGAGCCATCGTCCACCTTCTTACCCCCTGCCCAGCCACCAATCATCTCCAAACCTGCTCCCTCTCTACACGGCAACGCAATCAAACCCATGGACAGTGCTTGTATGTTTTCCACATGTGCTAACCTGCAGGTGAGTTTTCTTCTATTGTTTATGGTCTTAAATGTAAGAGAACAAAAATTAAAAAAACAATATCTGCACAATATATTTTATCAGCTAACTATTATAAAGCCAAATCAGCCATCCGGACTTTCTTTTATTGTAAAAAGCTCACACGTCGTCTTTGAGGAAACAGCTGCAGCAGGAGCACAAACCTTTTCAAGAACACAACCCTCAAACCACCAAAACAGGAGGACACAAGGACGCTATAACTGGTTAGAAAGATTGTATGCCAGGACATCAGATGGTTTAAAACTGTGTGTGGAGATGGATTCAGCAAACTGACAAAGTTTAACTGACATCAGTGTCCGGCTGTGTGGACGCAGCAGCAGCAGTCGGTGACTGATTCAGACAAACGGTTAAGTTAAGTTATTATGATTTTAATTCATGTTTCTACATGTTACCCTTATAATTACGCAAGTAAATATATGACTGTGTGTGTAGCAGGACAGTAACAGGACTTATGTTAACAGGTCGGGTCCGGACTTGACTTGGAGATAACTTCGGTTAACGGGTCAGTTCTGGTTCAAAATAAACTCACAAAATATTAAGAAAGGAAAAGAAATCAAACGTTATGTGGGTTTCTTAGGGGTGCATACGTAGACTCACCAGCAGGTGGCGGTATGCATAAATATAAGGGTACTTGTGGACTAACATTTTGAGCATTATTTAACACCATTAGAGATGGCACATTTGATAGGTTTTGGACGTGCAGGAAGGACGAAGGTGATCTTTGTCGTGGTAACAATAGTCAGGTGATGCGAAATGGTCGCAGTTTTAAGTTTAGAAAAACAACATGGTTAGGGATAAAATATATTATATTATTTATGTCATTTAAGTTACATACGTCAGTAAGTTAAGTTTCGTATGTGACAGAAGTTAATACGTTCCACAAATAAGTCAATGTTGACTTTTGGCCTCACACAGGGCACCGATTGCAGCCTACGGAAAGGTGAAAGTGCTCTTTGTTCGACCCATTCGCAACCACCTGCTGCGTATGTGGACTGTTGCTCTTTACGCGATGTCACCTGATTTTTATTTCTGACATTCATTTGTAAAAAGACACACCACCTCTGCACAATATAAGTCAGTAGAAAAGGCATGAAATGACATGTGAAAAACTAATTATTCATACACCATTTAATAAAACCAGGCTGGTCTGGGGAGAGGGCTTAGCAAACAGTTAATTTAAGCAATTAGTGGGTTAAGCTACCTTTAAAATCACGTTTCAATATACTGAAGACTAGATTAATGATATATAGAGAAAGATAACATGGATTCAGTGATAAATTAAATGGACTGCAAAAAAAAAATCTCAATAAACATTATTTTGTTAAAGTAGTTAAAAGGAGAAAGCAGAAAGAACACATTTAGTTTGCAGATAGTGTTTTCAGCTCACATATACAGTCCGTGGCACAGTGCGGTTATTTGCATTTTTAGGCATTATGTAGGATTTTGCCAGACATTTCTTTGGGTGAAATAATGAAACTGAGAAGAAGAGTGCGACAGATGGAGAGGTTTTGATTCAGTTTCACTGCCTCTGTAGTCGCTGTTCTCTGTCTTTGGACAGAACATCAGTTAAACAGTTTTGTGTTGTATTTATCAGAAGACGTGACCAACCGAGTACAGGAAAGAGAAACAGGCAGACGGTGCACATCCAGACACGAGTGAGGAGGTCTGAGCAGAACAGATTTATGTGGTTTGCTCTTCGTCACCTTCACACACATTAGCGTTATCCTGCCTGCTTCCAGGCAAAGTGGAAACCCATCCATTATGTACAGGGAAGAGGTGTAAGGCTGGAGGTTAAAGGCCAATATAAATTGCTATCCATTATATAAGAGATTTAAAGCATGAATTATAGAATACCTCGGCATACAGTCTGACTGGATGTAGAGATATTTCACTCAAATGCTATATTTTTTAACTATCTTATACAGACTTTGTTGTGGAGATTAACTTATGTTTTTTTCTGTTGCAACAATTCAATTCAATTCAATTTTATTTGTATAGCGCCAATTCATAACAGAAGTTATCTCAGGACACTTTTCAAATAGAGCAGGTCTAGACCGAACTCTTTATAACATTAATTACAGAGACCCAACAGTACCACCATGAGCAAGCACCTTGCTCATGGTGGAAAACTGCCTGTTAAGAGGCAGAAACCTAGGACAGACCCTTCGGCTCTAGGTGGGTGGGGGGAGAGAGAGAGAGAGAGAGAGAGAGAGAGAGAGAGAGAGAGAGAGAGAGAGAGAGAGAGACAGACAGACAGACAGACAGACAGACAGACAGACAGACAGACGCCCAGCAACAACAACTACACTAATAGTAGTGACTGATGATGATGAACATGAAGAAGACGATGACAACGACAACAACAACGATGGGGGACAATGAACAGTGACAATAGTAATAATAGTAACTGTATTAATAATAATATTAATAACAATAATAACACTAATATCAGTGATATTAGCAATGGCGGTCAAGCAGGACCATGGCAGGAGGCTCCACCAGGATCCATGAGAACCTGCGAGACGAGAAATCACAAGAACTCAGGGGAAGAAGTAAAGTTAGTAACAACAGAAAGATACTATGCCAGAGTCTGTCTCTAAACTATGTTTCATCAATAATAACACCATTAATAACAAGCACAGGAAAAACTCACACAGAAGAGAAACCATTTACAGCAAACTGCCGTTAGAAAAGCTGATAATCAGCCGGCGTCAACATCATACAACCTGATCAGCCTTCAGCAGTTAGCTAGTGTTTCTGTAGTGGAGACTAAACGTTAACAATGATCCATATCAGCAGTTTGAATCCAACTAAAAGCTCCCTGCACCAAACTCCCTTTAAGAAATATCACATTCTAACAATTCCTAACGTGTTCGTAACAACACGTAACTCTAGAAACACGAGCTAAAGGCCGTCATATGTCCACAGTCTGACTGTCAATACAGGATCAATATCATCCATAAAGATACAGTGTATACTGATCAATAATCAATAAAGATACAGTGTATACTGATCAATAGAATCCATAAAGATTGAAATTGAGGAAGTTTGTTACAATTTTGCCATTTCTCTCAAACGTTTCGAATGCGATACTTTAAAAATTTGTCTATGTTTTATCCTAGGAGTTGATCATTGTACTTTCTTGTCAGAAAACAGCTTTAAAAACCCAATAAAATCGGCACAATTACTAACAATAAAACATCATTTTGATCCCAGATAGATGATCGTCAGGTCCTCTAGGATCGAAACCTTGTCATTATTCAGGTGTATTTTATGCCATTACTTCTTGCAGCAGCGCCTGTTTTGGCCGTTCAGAGTCGGAGCTGCAGTGTCCCTCCTCCCCTCCCACAGCTCATTGTGATGCGTCCCTAAACGCAGCCATGCCTCGGGGTCGATGCTGTTTCCCTTTATGTTGAGCCTGCAGGACGGTGTCTGGTGCCAGAGGCTCGCTCAGTACACAGCAGGGTTTTTTGGGATTTGGCAATCTTCCGTTCAGCTGACACGACTGAGGTGGCGCAGATGTTCCTGAGATCAGAGTGCAGATTAGTAGGTTCTGGACCGGTATGAGGAGACTGGGGTTGGGCTCTTTCATCTGAGGTCCAGGATTCTCCTGAGACTGCAGAGATGGAGGAGTTAAGGCAACAGAAACACATTTTAAAGTACAACAAAATACATTCTTGATTAAGCAGCTTTTAGTAGAAATGTTAAGTCACACTAACGTAATTGTTTTAAGTTACAGAAACATTCCTACTTAAGTACTTTTTACTGTACAAATAAATATTACAAAATGAAGTTAATGTCACTTAATCAAGAATGTTTTTAACTTAACAAAATCGGGTTAATAGAAAAAAAACAATTTAAGTTACAGCTTATCGGGTTTTACAGTGTATTATTTTATTTGTCTTGCTTTTATTTGATAATGATTCTCGAATTTTTGGAACTACAGTTCCCATCATTTGCTGGCTGTAAACGGGAAGTATGTTGCCATGGAGTCAGTGAGTTAGCTGTGGGATACAACTTTGACAACATTTTGTCAAATGATGTCCATTAAAAGAAGCCGAATTAGCTGTTAGCAGCTCCTGTTAGCAGTGGACTCATTGACATACACACAACTATCACTGGATTACTGTGATACTGAAGAAAACCTAAAAACATGATGATTCTCACTCAGGTTCTGCAGTTCTAAGTATGTATATATGTGCTTTGCTAAGTTGGTTTTGAAATGGCCACGCCCTTAAGGCAACACATAACATTGTGAAACATTAGGTGGACGCACTTTAGCAAACACATTTAGCTAACATTAGCCACAGCAGCCCATTTTGCTGCTATTTTATCACCTAACTCAGTGAATGAAGGAGTTTCTCCGAGTTGGTGACTGTTGGTAAGACTAACAAAGACGGTTTTGGTGAGTTTTAACTATACATTTTTTTCTGCAAGGTACAATTGGTACTGGTTTTGTGAATGGAGTCTGGTTGGCTGTAGCACCCATTGTTTAGGTCTGAGGTGGTGGTGTTGTAGTGGCAGTGAATTACGGGTGTGACTTTTCATTTCTGAGTATAACAACCATGCAAAATAATCCTAATTTTTCAGATGATAGAAATGTATAGAAATAAAGAAAATGACATTTATATTCCTCATATTTTCCATTTCTGAAACCAAACCTACGACGTTAACCATATTGTTAACTCTGCCAAAATAAAACATAACCCCAGGTAAAAGCTCTGTGGCCCACTTCAGGGTCAGGACCTACAATTTAAGAAACACTGAGGTAAATGATAATATGAACACAATTTAACCCACAGCCTGACTTCACCCAGCGGCCCTCCATCGGGTCCACGAAGCAATATGGCTGCACCTGCAAACTGCCCTCTGTCAGCGCTTTGAAAAACCATTTCTAAATACCTGGAATGTCCGTGTGCGCATTTCCAGTAAATGTGAAACCTCCGAAGTCCCACAGCAGCAGAGATGAAGTTACATCTGAAAAGAGACAGACAGGAAAACAGATAGACGGAGATAGAGAGATGCAGAAACACGGCGTCCCTCTGGATGCTGTATATTATCTCATGCATGCTGCTGTAAAATTTGTTTTCTGAATTGTATCATTTTCCGAAAGCACATGAATATAGCTATCATTTCTGTGTGCGCTGTGCTGAGCAGTCAGTTTACAGGAAACAGACCTGCAGAGGCGTTCGGTGTCAGGAGAGGTTACTGCAGTAATAGTCAATATGATAATGATTCATCCGCATTGGTTTAATGAGTACTATAACAACCTGGCACATGGATGCATATTTGTGGATTTGCACATGTATATTTCAGAGGAGATGATAACGATCTGGCGTGCTGCGTTTTCTCTTTCTGCTCTCGTCCCTGAAAAGAGTTCTCTTCCTTCCAAGTCGGGCGATAAGATCTGATTGGCTCTCCCACCCAGGTACCGGGAGGAGATATGCTAATGAAGCGCTGACAAAGAGACTGATGGAGGAGATAAATGAGTGTGTGAGTGCGAGTGTGTTACTGCTCTGCATTTCAATCACAGCGAAGCTACTTGACTGTTTGAACAGAGGCCGAAACCAGTGACGAGTTTCTGGATTTCTTCTTTTAATGATCTCTTCAATGTTTCCCAAAATAGATACCTGGCTCTCTCATGGGTGTTAAGACCATCACTTTTATTGTTCCTAATTTAACGTCTGAGAAGCCCTGTTTTAATTCTGACAGTTTGACAGACCTGTTTTATCGTCTTATGGACTTACACGTGCTGTACATCTATAGTGTGTGTGTGTGTGTGTGTGTGACATACACACTATAAACTGAGATTCCCTCTGTGAAGCTTTCATATACATTATACATCTTTATTCTGTATCAGCTTAGAGAGCAACACAATATTCTTAAATATTGAAAAAGTGGGAGTTTACTTTTTTCATCAAATCACATGTGAATCAGTTCAGTTCTCTTCATCGGCAGATCCACTTTGTGTAAACCGACAGCATCCAATCAGGTTCAAGGAGAGAACCAGGAGAAACTAAAGTTACGTTACTGAACGCCGTTTCCTTCATTCTGTTGTTGAAATGGTATTGACTAGCAAAGAGTGCATCATGACTTGTTCAGGTCTTGAAACTCAATGTTAAGGACTTTCAAAACAATGACTTGGAACTCAGTCAACACCTCTGGAACTCAGCCCCCAAAGAATTCTGGGTAAAACGGGAACAACAACAACCTGCAGTTATAACGAGAAAGAGCAGTGATTGTGTTTCTGATGCTTCCTCCTAATGAGTGCTTGTCTTACAGGATGGAGGCCAGAAGTGCGTCCCCTCTGACGAGTTCGAGTGCGAGGAGGTGAGGAGCTTTGATTACACACCTCACTGTGTTTGACGCTTCAGGAACTAATTAATGAAAGTAACAGGTTTTTAAAAAGAAGCATTTATAACACCCACACACACACACACACACACACACACACACACACACACACACACACACACACAATCTCTTTTTTTTATTTTGGTTTTCCAGCAACCATTTGCTGGGCGGTGATAATAGAACATTATTATCAGTGTGACGGCTCTTCGATAAATAACTCCACTGTCTAATAGACATTTTAACAGTTGTATTCTTTAAAATTAATTTAGGGGCAACTTTAAACAGTTTACTCCGAGCTGAGTAAAAAAAAAACCAGAGAAATTGATTTTTAAAAAGAAAACTAAAACTTAGCTAGCTACCTACCTTTGACTGAGAGAACCAGCTGTTTTCCCCAACGAGTTTATCCGCTGTGTTTTTGAAGCAGCCTCGCATGTAGTCGTTGGCCCCTAAGTTTAGCCTGTTAGCATGCTAACATTTGCCAATTAGTAGTAAATAAAAAGAACAGCTGAGGCTGATGGGAATGTCATTAGATTTGCAGGTATTTGATGATAAAGTATTGAACAAATCCATAGAGCCACTAATGTGGCTAAAAATGACAATTATCTCAACTTAATAACATTGTGATCTGTGTCTTGACTGGATGAATAATAATAATAATAATAATAATTCCTCACTAAACATTCAATCTGTAGAATCACAGAACATCCTGACCTCCTGAAGTGTTTTTGTTCCTGTTTACAGGCGTAAAATGTGAGAGGAACTCATGTAAATGTATACAGACAGCAACTGAATCAGATTTATCAGCCCTGACTGACCACTGCAGCAGAGAATATTGTGTGTTTAATTAGCCACAGTCGGAGGTTTTAATAGTTCAGACAAAGTAAAGATCATCACATGAAAATATGCAGCTCTCTTTTATAAAGCCATTAGAACATAATTATATATAACATTATATATCCAACGAAAACATTAAGGTTCAGTTTGATTTGAAGCTAAATGTTAAACTTATAAAAGTTGTAACTAAAAACATTACTGCTAATGAGCCGGATGAGAACGTCTTTCACCACAGAAGAACTTTCTCTCAGCTCCCAGCAGTCACCTCTGCAGACTGCTGTATGGCCATAAGCGCTGGGGGTGGATGGGTAAGAAGGCAAACACGTATTTATACTCAAAGGGTTGCCAAAGACACCAAACAGAAAGGCTTTAAAATAGCTGCAAACTGCTGCAGAAGAAATAATGAAGTGCAGTTGGATCTTCTCAGAGTGGATCCTCCTCGAGGGTTTGGAGGAAGGGTTAGTGTAGCAAGTCACGCTACTACCATGGGTTCTCTCAGCACACAAACCCACAACACGGGTTAACAGTCCAGACCACTTTCTTTATTTCCTCCTCCACACACACTATTCACACAACCCGCTTCAAAAGTCCATGAAGGTTTGCTCCACTTGTCCTTCCTGTTGTTTGTGTCGGCCTCCAGGTCCAGCTCACTACTGCATTAAGAGAGGTGAGTGGGATTACTCAATGAGTACCAGCTGAGATCATCAACTCACCTGGCACTGCTCTCAGGAGCCTTCCTCACCTCTCTCTCTCTCTCCTGCAGCTGACTGTAAACCACACCCACCTCCACAATAAGATAGGAGAGTTTGTACTGATACTGTCATTTTGACTAGTCTGCTAGTCTAAAAGTAAGAAAACGCTCAGAAAACAGTGAAAGTTCCCGCTGTATTCCCGGCTAGTGGCGGTTGGCAGCCTAAAGACACAATTAACCAACACTGTACATTAATAATATAATAATTTGTTTAACCGACTAGTATTTCTGGTGTCGACAAGCGAGATTAACAAAGTAAGGTATCAAAATTATCTGGATCTGTTGAAGTAAAATTGTTCCTCAATGTTATTTATATAGCTCAAAATCACCACTTACAGTTTGCCTCAGGGGGCCTTAGAGTCCTGATCTGGAGGAAAAATCCCCCCAAACAAACCTTGGCTCAGGAAGAGGAAGAGCCACAGAGGAAGAGCCACAGAGATCCCTCTCCCAGGAGGCACAGACATGCAATAGATATCATGTGTGCAGAACAGATTCACAACAGAAAATCATAGTTTATACGATTACGATGACAGAATATAGATTGTAGAGGATCTGAACCACACAGAGACCTGGAAGGAGGACAGAGCAAACCCTGAGGGAGAGAGAGGATCAGACAGTACAGTTAAAGGCTGCAGACAAGCAGAAGATACTAGAGGAGTGAATTTCAGCAGAAACAACACAAAATACACGTATTGTACCAGATAAAAGCTCATTTTCATCTGCAGTCCCTGGGCGGAGGTCACTAGTGTGCAGGTTAAAAATGATTAATTTGCGACGTTTTAATACTAGATTTTCAATATTATAATTATTTTATTATTTTATGTTTATTTAGCTGGGACAACGCACAATACATGTATTGTACCAGATAAAGCTAAAATCTATTCATTTTTTTATCTGCAGTCCCTGGGCGGAGGTCACTCCTGCGCAGTTTACAAAGATAAAAGACCAGTAGTAAATTAAAACCTTGTAAAAATCAGGCTGATGAGAAACCATCTTAAATAGAGACGCTGTAAGGTGATGTTTATCATTAACGCCATCCTACTGCACGTTGTAGCCACTCCCTCTTTAAGATGGCTTCTCATTGTCATCAACCGTTTGCTGGATGAAGGTCTAAAACTGAAACATGATTTTAGATTGCAAGTTAAACAGTATGTGGGAATTTATCTGTGCAACTTTTTCATCTACTCATCCCACTCCTACGCACCTGACTCACTTTCGTCTGTTCCAACATGTTATTTATAAAATTAATCTAAATTAATTTGTCAAATTTGACAGCATATGACACCAAACTGTGGTGGCCACTCATTTTTATGGAGTTAATTTCAGCATCAAACCAGCGTAGAGGCACTTTTCATTAAAAATAATGGCCTTGCTCTCACAACGTGACACTTGATTGGTGTGAGAGCAGCTTACATGTGACTCTCAGTACTTGATCACACCTGACGACAGCGTCGGGTCTCTTTTGGTGCTATTTTCATATTGTGCAATAAAAATCAACATAAAATGTTTACTGGGTGAATTTATTGTGTTTCCTGAATCACCTTCAGAACAACCTCAGGAAACATTTTACAGTCTGCTAATTACCTGATTTACTGGGAAACTAGATGGTAACTAAATATAGTTAAATATAGTTAATGGATAGTAAGTACAAAGTTATTGCTCAGTCAGGAAACTACTCTGTAACAAAGAAAGTTGAGAAAACTCATAATTTCTGTCTTCACTAATAATAATTAATGATAATTGAGACTGTAAAATAAAGTGCCTTTTTTAAATTCTTATTTTCTTTCTCCCTCCCATCGCTCTCTCCCCCCCTCCCTCCCCTCCCTCCTCAGGCTCTGTTGGCCCAGGGGTCAATAGACTCTCCGGACTCTGCAGGACCGAAGAGCAGCAGCCGGCAATCAGCTCCTCTCCTCCGCCACCACCTCTCTGTGACTGTGTGCGTCTCCATCCTGCCGACGTTTCTACTCCTCGTCGCATAAATATGAACTTACACACGCTGCACAAACACACACATACACACAGACACACACGTTCACACACTCACATGTTCACACACTCACACTCATAAATGGCAAGACCCGGAGAAAGTCACGTGACCCGGCGCCCTCGCGGCTGCAGGAAAATGTCAACCGACAGACGACCAAACATCCACAACGGCCTTTGGAGAAAGTGTTCTGGAGGACGTTCAGATTAGCCGTCTCTCTCCACCACACACACACACACACACACACACACACACACACACACGCTGCAGCAGAATAATGGAAGAACAAGAAGAAGCCGGACTGTGTGTTTTGTGATGGACTACAAAGGCAGAGACAGAGAGGCTCTTGGGATTTTGGATCACAGCGACTTCGTTTCCAATGCTCCGCGTCTGGAGGGTTTGCTGTGCAACTCCGGCTCTGACTCGCTCCCTCCGGCGTTTCTGGATCCGAGACAGCCGGGCTTGAAACCGCGGCGACTTTTTGGCTCAAGCACAAAACCACACACAAACACACACCAAGAATACACACAAAAACAACACCACACACTCAGACAGCAAACGTGAGAGAGAGAGACGACAGGCAGATCCTTCCACGGTGTTTATCACTCCCCTCTCTGGTGGCAAGAAATCTATATGGCGTACATACAAACACACATGCACGCACACTGTCTCCCTCCCCTTAGAACTCGCTAGCGGGCAAACAGGGTCCCCACACGGACACAAACACTCATGCTGTACACCAGTGTGCTTTTTGCGGGTCTTTCTCTTAATTTTGTCGTCAACATTATGTACAAACTTCATTTAATGTGGAAAACGGAGTCTCAGTGGAAGAGTGTATATTTCACATACTGTAAGTGTATAGTTGTGTGAGCTTGTTTGTCGGGGAGTGTGTGTTTGTGCGTGGGCTGTGTGTGGATGCTCAGTGTGCATGTGGCAGCAAAAGAAAAGCTAGAAGGATTTAAATCTTATAAGGAACAGAATACCAAAAATCTCATCACTGAAGACTTAATGTTGGCATTTAAATATCACTGGGATATGTACAGTGTGTAATATAACTTTGAAAAGCATCTGTCAGGATTTATGTGGTTTGGATCGCCTTCTTTGAAGCTTCCAGAGGGTCATTTTCAAACATTCATTCAAAGAGCAACTTGTAGGTTAAATTTGTTTCCGATTTTATACTTAAAGGTTATGTATAGGAAATGTACTTGCCAGTAGATGTCGCACTAAAGCACCAGCATCGCAAAACAAATGGGTGCTACGACCAGCCAGACTCCACTGACAAATCCAGTCATTTTACGACGCAGATAATTGCAGAAACCCACCACAAACTGGTGGAAAGTGATATTACGTTTAATAACGATTAACGATTAGACGTTTCTGGTTGTTTCTGTCCAGACTCCATAGACAAATACGCAAATTTTATGTCACATTTCATTGTAACTTCATTCATAATGGATGGACACAAAATAAAATTCTGCAAAACCGTCACTGTTAGTCTTTCCAACAATCAACAACTCTGGTTTGGTGGAAATAAATCCTTAATTCACCGATGTAGATGATAAAAACAGCAGTGTCAGTAGTTTTCAATTTTTTAATTCCAAATGACCACATAAATTCTCATTGAGCAAAATCTTTAATGCTATAAATTTGGGGATATGAGGTATTCAATTTCTTATAACATTCAACTAACTTTGTCCTTTTCTTTTGCTTCCATAAACGTGTTTAATCTGTGTGTGTGTGTGTGTGTGTGTGTGTGTGTGTGTGTGTGTGTGTTCTTTACCTCTGGCCACTCTGTGGGGTATTTTTTATGTTTCATAGAAGCTACGAGGATGTGGAACATGAAGGCCTGTTTGTGCTGTAAGACGGCCACCAGGTTGTTGTCTCGAGTGGGTCGTCACCTCTTACCCTCCATCAGCTGGAAGTGAAAGAGAGATCAGTTTCTGTGATTATGGTGTGGCCTTACTTTACTGTTCTTTCTTACATACTTGAAAGAGGGAGAATGATGATTATTGCCCCGCTAGCGGTTGGTAAAAGGGTCTATAATGTTTAATACTTTGGTCCAGAGGATGAATCCTATTGACACAGCACCACTATCTGGGCAAATTTTGCTTTTTACTACCTATCTAACTGAGATTTAAAGAAAGTTTGTTCAACTTTAACCATTTAGAAACAAATACACGTGTTTAAGTGAAAGAAACAAGCAAGTATCATCAGCAAGAAGTAATAAAAACAGATCTAGTAACCAGTTATGTAAAGAATGGAATAAAAGGGGTCAAATAAATATTCATAGTCCCCAGAGGATGTATCTCGGTCTTTTGGTTGACCTCCTCATCATGAAAATATGTTTATTGAGATTTAAAGGTTTGTTCAATTTAAACCATTTAATATAAGTCTCACAAATACAAGTGTTTATCTGAAAGAAACAAGCAAGTATCATCAGCAAAAATAAAAACAAATGAATATTCAGTGGTTAGTCAATAATGTAACAAGGAATAAAAGGGGTCCAACAATTGATTCCTGTGGGCCACTCAAGGATGAATTATTTAAATTTGGGGATTTCATCTAGGGTCACCCAACCATGTCTCCTAGAAATTACATTTCTATATTATTTTGCTGCTTATGTTGTGTTGACAACGTAATGCCTGCATTGATTATGTTCAAAGACAACATTTTTTGACTGTCACACCAAGTTTGTGTCCAGACTTCTAAGTCTTAAGTCACTCCTGAGTTTTGAATAATGCTGTAGTCACTATGAGTTGATAGTATTGCAAGATTGTCCATTTTGGTGGAAAACAAGTGAAAAAACATTTTACTGGTAAGTTAAATATCAACATTTTTGTGATTTTCCAGGTACGTTCAACAACATTTCCCTATTATGTTAATAGAAAAACATAATTCAGTCGGCATTATGTTTCACTCAGAAAGATTTGTTGCATTTATTCATAATTTCTAGGAGACAGTGCTGTGCCACCTTAACATTTTCGCTCGTACACAAGAAATGTAAAAATGTAATGTGACAATTGGTATGAAATATACTGAGCACATTCATGCACCTCAGAGGATGAGCACTCCCTGGTCATTCCTCAAGTGACATATCAACGCCAAATTTCAACTTTGTACAAAAGTTTTTTTCATAATCTAAAAGGGAGACTGCCAGACCTTACATTTTCCATATTTAATTGATTTGTCTGTATTATTTTTAGAGGCATGAGAAGGTAAATTATTAATAGGGACGGTGGAAAAAGTGGAAGCCCAAACAGTATTGTAATAAGTAATATATAGGTAAAGTAAGCTTTAATAAAGAGTCATCAATCATTTGTGGTTAGCCAAACTTCATACTTTATTGACCATACCAATTAATACTAACAAACTGAACCATATATGATTTTATAATAGGATTTTTCCAACTTACATTTCATTAAGTAACACACCAAGAAATCTTGTAGATGAGACCTGAGATTTTTTTCCAATAAAAAGGCAAGAATTGGGTGTAAAATAACTTTTATTTTTTTTGTCAATATCATGAAATTAGATTTAAAGAAAATTAGTTAAATTTAAACAATTTATAAATTAAATCTAAGTCAGAATTTGCATTACAAAAACGTGTGTTTACGTGAAAGAAACAACTGAGTATCATCAGCAAAAGGTAACACAAACAAATTAAGATTTAGTGTCATTAATGTAATGAGGAATAAAAGGGGTCCAATAAATGATCCCTGTGAGATGCCTCAAGTATCTCGTGCCAAATCAGAACTCAGTGCATTTACAGGTGTTTCTGATTAGTAATATAATTTGACAGCCATATATCGGTCAGTCACCAAAGCCATAATGTGATAACTTGATCAACGGTTGGGAAAAACTGCTCTAGCGCCACCCTCAGGATAAACTTTGCATTTTAAATCCCAACTACTAAAGCTAAATTATCAGTATATTCTTCTGTCCAAACCTTTAATTCTGTTGGACGTAAGGAATCTGGGAGCCGCTAGCGGAGCTTTACACTTTGTGATTATGTGGAGGGAAAGAGAAATGAGTAGATGAGTGAAGGAAACAGATGGAAGTGAGGTTGTAAATTTGCTGATATATTTGTAAAGTTTAACAGCGCTACAGCAGTGTAACTGAAATATGTGTCTGGAGATCTAAATAAAAGTAACATCTGTAACAACAGCTGTGTCTTTTCTGTGTGTGATAGAGCATTTTCTCTGGTAGCACCATGTGTGGGCTAACATCAGTACTGAGCTACAGGAGAGTGGGCTACAAACCTTCTTGCTGATTACATCGCAACCACATCCACAGCGGAGGAATGTAAATGCTTATACAGTCCCACACTGGAAAATACACAGCGGGCATCAGGCTGAATGCTGTACACAAGAGGAGAACAAAAAGTGGAAGAACAATGTTGAGAAAAGCTACTGGAGCAGGAGGGGGTTCACTAAAAGAACAGATTCTCATTTTAATTTAAATAAATGTCTGTCACTGTCTGTTGCTGAATGATGGGGATTGATTGCACTGATGAAAGAACTGCCACATTTATATATTTGCAGTATTATAAACGAGGTATCTGTGGCAACATTCCTGGAAAAAATGCTGTTTAAAGTTACTGCTGATGCAAACGGAATATTTCCTACTGCTGCAACTTCACATTAAAAACATTTAACTGTGAAACAGGAGCTTACTTTTATTATTAAAGTCCACATGAAGTAAAAATTGATATTTAAGTGTTTTTATCTGTGCTGTACATCTCCTGTCCTCCAGTGTCTGTCCAACAGGGACAGGAACTCGTGTTTTTAGGTATTTTCAGGTATTCTTAAATGTTATTATAGAGTTTCCTGAACAACAATAAAAGTAGTTGATGACTCATCCTGCACTCGGGGGCGTATACTAATGCTGCGTCCAATCAAACGCTTTCTCTCTTCTGACACCGTCGGAGCCGAGTGTTTCTGAGGGCCAATGTGTTATTGTCTGGATTCTCGTCTGACGTCCTCCGGCTGCTCAGTTCCAACTCTCTGTGTTTTACAGAGTTTCCTGATGGACAGATTGATCGGTAGCTAACCGCTAACTGCCTTTAGCTGGGTCAGCTGTGCAGCTAAGCTAACTGACCCAGCCCCGGGAGGCCAGGAGCCAAAACCAGCAAGAAAACCGCCTCGGTACTGGATTCACTGTTGGTCTTAGAGATTATATTCGGTCCGGGGTCCGACTGTGTTCACTGGAAGGTAGAGGCTAGCTCATAGCGCTAGCTGCATAGCATTGTGGATGAGAGCACACACTCATCGTATAATACTTCTCTGAAATGTGGTGGAGTTTACAGACAGTGAAGGATTTTAGTTATTTAATCAGTGTTTTTGTTACATTCGGGTTCCTACTGTTGCCTCGGCAACCTTTTCCCAGTTTATTTGGCCCACTCTGCATTGTTTAACTCCCGGGCGTGAAGCGAGACCCCCTCCTCCCCTAATGCACTCAGAAAACTGAGTAAGAGGCTTTTAAAAATGTGACCCCTGACTTCCTTTTTAAAAATTCCATGTTTTTTTTTTTTTTAAATTTAGCACTGAATAAGTTCGGAGTGATTCATAACTGCCAGGATGGGAGCTGCTGATACTGATGATGATACACTGTAGTGCTGATAAAAGCTGCACACACTGACTCACACTCACACAGATTAGCCAAGACAGGAAGACAGGCGGGACCGTTTCTGACAATCGGGCATCAAAAGGACGATTAAATAAAAAGAATAAAACTGACCGTATGTGTTTGTGTGTGTGTGTGTGTGTGTGTGTGTGGGGGGGTGTGTGGGTGCATTTCACAGCTCTTATCTCTCTGTTTCACACAGCTCTGTCACTCTGTCATTCCTTTACATCTCCTCCTCTTCTCCTCCTCGGCATAGCTCCGCCTAATCCAAGCACTTATTCTCTCAGTTTGATTCAGGCGACACTGATAGCAGGTTGTGTGAAATCATACATCCATCTCCATTTACTCCGCTTCCACACTGAATCCCTCTGTCACATCTGCTTCTTCCTCCTTTACGTCTCAATTTATGTGATCCATCTGTTTGCACCTTTCTTCGTCACTTTGTCTATCCTGCTGATTATTCTCTCATGACTCACTTTGCTTCACTGCTTTCTTTAACTGTTTCTCTATCAGTGTAACACTGTTTATTCCTTTCTAGGAGAAAACACTTCATTTCAAGGCAACTGTCTTCATAAAATGTGAGTTTTAAGTCAAACTTTTAACGTTTTTAAATTAAGTGATAATGATAAGAAATCTTTCTTTTTTAGAAAAACTCATTTTTAAGTTACAGAAACATTTCTTAGAATCAGTTTTCCCTTCAGCAGCTGTTCTCACACTTCAGCCTCAGCGGAGCATAAAATACAGAAAATTAATCTTCTAACCTATTAGCCATTAAAACAAGAGATCGAACGTACAATTACCAGCCAGAACAACTAATGTAAATGTGAGCATTAATAACAGGCTGTATGTAGATGTAGTGGTGGAACAGCTCTGAACTGAGGTGAAAGTGTGTCAGCAGGCAGTTTATCCTGCCAATACCCACCCAGGTTTAACTGAGTGAGCGGCTCAAATTTCCAGAACATTTGGTCATTTTAATACATTTCCAGGTGTTTCCTGATGAAAGCCCAAAGTGTGTAAAATATTGTTCACTCATTATGTCCCAGTCAACATGTGTGAAACCTGGAATTCACTCTTAAATTATGGCTAAAAACCAATTATGAGGTCGAAGTGACCTTTGACCTTTGACTCACCTCAGTGTCAGACCAACTGTGAAATAATAATAATTGAATAATGTCCCAAAAAGTTTTTTTCCAGGACAGTATGATGCACAGGAAAGTTGACCTTTGACATTTTATATAAAACCTCTTCGTCGTATCGCTCAAACGCTGGTGGTCAAACTTTTATCAGAATTACATCATCAATTCCTGAGAAATTAGATAAAAACACTTTGTCAAGGTCATTCTGAGGTCACAGTGACCTTTGACCTTTAACCACCAAATTTTAATCAGCTCCTCCTCGAGTCCAAGTGGACGTTTGTGCCAAATTTGAAGAAACTCCCACAGTCGGCCTTTTATCGCTGCTCGTTTTACCACACACAGCGATCAATACAAGTACGTCAGGATTGTACTTTCCACCAATCTAATATTTTCCTCCGTGTCCCTGCTGGGGCTCTGTGGGTGAGAGCCCGCAAGATCTCTTTTCTTTTCTTTACTTTTCTTTGCTCCTCTCTCTCCTCCTCCTCCTCCTCCTCCCTCCTGCAGCAGCGAGCAGGTTGGTGGTAAGCAAGGTAAGAGTCTAACTGTGTTGGACATTTACTGTAATGATTAATGTCAGCTGGGCTCGCAGCGACAGTGTTACTGCTCCACCTTGTTTCCATCAGGACACTGTGGCCAGAGAGGGGACTGGGGGAAGAAGCCTTAATCAGCCACCAGATGAGGTTAGGTGAGTGCGGGCGAGGCTGCAGGGAGGAAGTCCCGGCTGCGGTTAATGAGAGCTGACACACCCGACAAACGGCCCACCTCCAAACCGAATAATGAAGTTTAAATTTGTGTGAAAATAGAGTCAGCGTTGGTAAAGATCTCTGTGCTGACTCGTGTAGTGACTGTGTGAGCCCCGCAGCCCGGCTGATAGCCTTTAGCTTTCACACATTTAAGCATGTTTATTTCTGTATGTGCGTGTGTGTTTGTGTCAGAGAGGTCTTTTCAAAATGACTTACAAAAGCAGACTCCCTGTTCAAAATGTCAGTGTCCTCTGCCGTCACAGGTCTGCATGTGTTTCCTGACCTCTGAGGACGGTCACCGCTCATTAAGGGTTCATTTGTGTGGTTATGACTAAAAGCCTGATCATGCTGAGGTTGGAGTCCCAGACTGCCGCCGCAGTGTCGTTACCTTCAGCCCCGAGTGCCACAGTTACCCTGCAGACAACGCCAACGTACAGCGGCGACTTTGTTTAATAGAGCAAACAAAGTCAAATCTTGTCTTTCTGCAGGTCTTATTCAGCATCTAACAGTGGCAGTGCAGCTGGCGCTAAGTCGCTAAAAGATTTGATTTGACAAGATGCTAGCTAGCACTTATCATCTCTGATCTCTCTGTTCCGGGTCGTTACTCCCACTGACAGTTTGTTCTTTTTAAAGAGGACCAAAAAGGTCAGTGAGTAGGTAACTGATGGTTGCTAAATGACGGAGTTATGTCTCATACGTAGTTAGAGTTTCTGTGCACCATCTGCCCGATCAGTGGACCGCCACTAAAATACGATGCTGTAGGTATCTCGTGGACTTTGGGTTGGATAAGATTAGGAAAAGTTGAATAAAACATTACTTATGTAACATTCTTAAATCATGCCAACAGCAGTCTCCTGGGTTAAAGTCCTGTTTGAGCTGTACATTCACCACCACCGCCTCCATACGTGGACTCTCTCGCTCTTTAGACTGCCTCACTGGACTTCGACGGCGGGCGCGTCCAGTAATGACTCTAGAGAGACTCCAGACTCAGTATTTGAGAAGCGCACAAACAAAAAGACAAACATCTCTAGTGTTTATCAGAGTGTGTTGTGCTCATGAACCACAGCGTTCATCGTAAGAGCATTAGTTCTCAGGGTCTTTAATAAGGGCCTCCAGGACCCCCAAACAGAGCATTAGCTGTAATCAATTCCTCTACTACAGTTTGGCATAAGTGATAAATTACACAGAGCACGTATGGTAGCTCGGCTGTTTGTGTGAGCAGCACTTGTAACGGTATGTATGTAATGTCTGTTACTAAAGGGACACTCTGTCTCTGCCTGTCACTATAGCAACAAGTGTTGGGGGGTGTAATTATGAAACAACCAAGAGAGAGGGAGGGCAGAGGTGTTCTGACAGGCAGACGGGATTAAAGAGGAGGAGAGTGACACGGCAGCCATGCAAAGAGAATATTTAAACGGCCTTCTTCGCCGCTTCTGCCTCATTAGTTCTCAGCCGATGGTTCAGTCTGTCCGTCTGTCTGCAGCGTCCTACACGGTGCCAAGAGCCAATCACAGAGCCAATCACAAATTGGGATGCAAATGTGCAGACAATGAAGACGTGAAGCCCCCGCTGCAGGACGAACACATGTCAACACAGACGAAGAGTCGGTCCATCCGTCCACAGCTATCGGACAGACTGTTAACACACAAAGCCAAAATATGTG